TTTTTGTCATGGCCATATAAAAGTATCAATTTAAGGCATTGACTTCTTTTTTCTTTTTCTTAGTAAAATTAAAGAATACCTAGTGCTTACAGATGCATAGGAATAAGAATATTAGAATCTACTTACTTTAATTATTGATCCAATTTATCTGTTTTTAGTTTTTTAATCTGTTTGTCTTGAGTATCTTTTATCTGATTAAGTGTTTGACCACATTGACTTTAATAATATTTTTTAGTTTTTATTATAAAAAATAGGCTTATCGTTAAAAAAAATTCACATGGAGTGATATGTAAGTATATAAAGTAAGAAGGGAGAATTCTCCCTTTCTGTCCCTTTCCTTCTCTTTTCCCCCATGTCCCACTGTGCTCTATCCTATAAGGGGCCCATAAAAAATTTGCTATATCCTTCTGGAATTTTTCAATATATAGATAAGTATAAACTTAAAGAGATCGGGTAACATTAACATTATCCTTTTTTATTTCACTTAATCTTTCTTATGGATTTTCAGTTTTGTAAGGTGTTCCTTAATGATTTTTTTGTTGTTGAACAACAGTGCATTTAATCAGATTTTCCAAGGTGGTTTTCCGAGTAAATTGTTGGGTGAAAGTATGCTTCAAATCCAGTAGAATCTCTGTGTTACTATATAAGGCAAAGTGAAGATGTTATTCTTGCCAGATTTTTCCCCAGACAAAAGATGGTTATAATTATAGAATCAGAACAAATGTGTTTATATGTAGGGTGATGCTAACAGCATGAGCTTAAAATAAACCACTAAGGTCAATCCTGTCTCTGCAGGTAGATCTTAAACGGTTATGATTTACATCTGGGATAAGTTACATGGTGTGAAGTAAACTGGTAAATGTCATCTCTTCAGAACTTGTAAGAGCAAGTCCTGTATTGATTTCTTTGTTGAAGAATATTGTGTTTAGGTTTCTCAGAGGTGCTCAGCCCAGGCTTGCAACGTCTTACTTTTAATACTGCTTATGATGTGTATGTTTTACTGCTTCTATATTTATATAAAGTCCAGTCACTTCGTAGCGGGCCAACTCTGCTACAAAGTTAAACATTATGACCGTTGGTGAAGCTGCTAAGTACCTTTGTTGTGGTCCCACAGTTTTAGCATTCACTACAGGAGCACCTTCCTAGCAAGAGGCGTTCAGGCTGGCCCCCAAGCCTGGCATGTCTGTGCACGGCACAGTAGAGGGAACAGTGGGCAGGTGGTAAGTTGCCTGCCTTCTAGGTCCTTCTGTCACTGGTTATAGGTGTGCGACCTAAGTAAGCCGTTTAACCGCTTAAGTAGGTTGCTCATCTGTAAACTGGGGATGGTAATAGTAATGCACCGTTAGGATTCGTCTCTATTTCAAAGGCGTAATCCTTCGGTGAAGTAGGCATCATTCTGTGTCCTCAGTGACCGCTCGTCAAGAGTGATGGAAGAACAGGGAGGACTTTGGCTGGGACACAAATTGCCATTAGATGGAAGGGGTGGGGCTGGATTGGGGTGACAGTGAGACTTGTGAAAATGGGAGGGGCCAGTTCAGGGGAATGATAATTGGGCTTGGGGTAAGCTTGCTTCTGGTGCCAGGCTGTGTGTTGGAATCAGAGAGGGTGCAGGTGTGTAGTAATTCTGACGCACACTGAGAAATGTCTGTAAACCTACGATGCTTTCAGAAACAAAGCCATAAGATATCTCTTTCTGAAAAAAATTTAATTTTCCAAACGTACTGAGCCTTGGCTGCCTTGTGGCTCTGACACGGAAATTTTCATCCGTCCCTTACCCAGCCTTGCTTATTGTTTCCAATGATGACGACTCATCAGAATGTTTTTGCCAAAGGAGCAGCAATTTGGTAAATTTAAATTCTAAAAATCTGTTTATCCTTCCAAGAGCAGGTAAAACCAGTGGCCAAGTATAAATTAAAACATCAAATGGCTACTTGAATATTGGTTATTTATTGGTTATTTGCTAATTATTTTAAGGAATGTAAAGAAAAATGTCTCCCTTTAATTGATAGACTGAAGAGTCTATTAACAAAGGACATATAAGCTAGTAAAAATTGGTTAAGTGTTGAATGCTTCAATGTAGATGATGAGAGAAAACATTATCAGAATTTGTCCTTCACTCTTGGCCTTTAAATTTTTTTTAAATAGCTCTATTACTGTTATTATAATTCTGTGTATATTTTTTTATTTCATTGAGGTATAATTTGACAATTGTAAGATATTTGATTTATTTACATATACATTGTGAAAGGATTTACACCATCTAGTTAATAAACATGTTATCACCTCACATATTTATCGTGTGTATGTAAGAAAATTTAAGTTCTACTCTTATAGCAAATTTCAATACAGTGATAACGCTGTGTATCACCTCTAGTTACTGTGTCTTACATTATCCTCAGACCTTATGCATCTGAGAGCTGACAGTCTATACCCTTTTCCAACCTCTCCTTATTTCCCCCATCCTACTTCTGGCCTCAAAAGAAAAATTAATTCATTCGGCAAACATTAAGTCTTACACCACGCTAGACACTTTGCTAGGTCCTCAGGGACGGAATTGAATCAGGTTCTTTTCCTGTTCTCAGGGGCTGTAGAGACTAGTCTGAGAGGCGTATTGAAACAGATGCCATGACAGAAGGAAGTATGGATCTGAGCATAAAAGAAGGTGTGGTCCATGGCAGTCAGCAGGGAATGTCCTGGAAGGAAAGGCTTTACAGAGAGGTTGGGATTCTCAACTGCACTTCTCAGACTTAACGTGTATTTAAATTACCAGGGGATCTTGTTAAAAGGGAGACTGTGATTCAGTAAACCTGGGGTGACGCAGCAAGGATTTAAAAGAGAGTCATCAACTCACTTTGTATTCACTGGGCAGAGTTTGAGGACTGGAGGGAAAGAAGGCCATTGCATTCACAGGGGTGGGCAGAGCAGAAGAATAGAGTAAAACATCCTGGAAAAATAAAAAGGGGTGTGTGTGTGTGTGTGTGTGTGTGTGTGTGTGTGTGTGTGTGTGTGTACACTTGTACGCACAGAGAGGTAGGGGCATGACGAAGCATAAGGGGGAAGAATTGGGTAGGAATCAACCAACCCTAGGGCTGCCTTTTATGTCTTTAAAATTAAATATTAATTAAGAGGCTTAAAAATAATGTCATCCTGTAGATAATGGGGAATCATAGATTATAGATTGGGTCATGACCTTAGTTTTCACATTCAGGAGATCAACACGATGGAGCTGGAAAGGATTGAAGGAAAGAACTTTGGGGTCTAATACAGTTATTCAGGCAACGTGTAAGAGAGTGAATAAGGATTTGTAGCATTTGAATTGAGGGGAGGAACACCTCTTTGAAAAGAAATGATGTGGGCTTCCCTGGTGGCGCAGTGGTTAGGAATCCGCCTGCCAATGCAGGGGACACGGGTTTGAGCCCTGGTCCGGGAAGATCCCCCATGCCACGGAGCAACTAAGCCCGTGCACCACAACGACTGAGCCTGTGTTCTAGAGCCCATGAGCCACAACTGCTGAGCCCACGTGCCACAACTACTGAGCCCGGGAGCCTAGAGCCCATGCTCCACAACAAGAGATGCCACCGCAATGAGAAGCCCGCGCACCGCAACGAAGAGTAGCCCTTGCTCACCGCAACTAGAGAAAGCCCGCATACAGCAACCAAGACCCAACGCAGCCAAAAATAAATTAATTAAATAAATAAATTTTTTTTAAAAAAAAAAGAAAGGAAAGGAAAGAAATGACGTGCCTTGTGAATTGGAATAGCACATCCTGGTGTCAGGGAGAAAAAGAGAAAACGGGTTATTGGAGCAGGGCTCACACCGATGTACAAGATTCAGTACAGGGTGAGGCAGCAGACAGGAGAACTTTAGATGCCAGGCCTAAGGCACTTCAGCTCTTTTTCTCTAATAAGATGAGATTTTTATAAGTGAAATAACTGGGACAAAGCAGTGAGCATTACTTTTTGGAAAACCTACTTTACTCCCTTAGGGTGCCATTAGTAATATGTGACACTATCATTTGCAGGTAAGGTCCTTTTCAACTCTTGATATTCTTCAGTTATATGATCCAGGTAGCACTGAGAAACTTAACGTTAGATTAAATGAGACTCTGATGGGGGAAGAAAGATGATTCCAATGTTTTGGGGCTGGGAAAAAGGAAAATTTAATTATGGTTTAGCATAAGTAGGTAGGAGGTTGTCTAATTGTCCGAGTTGGAAATGTTCAAAAAGAAATTGAAAATGTGAGTGGCATTGGGATTCAGGAAGACAGAGCTGCAGATGAGAATTTGGGATTCATCCATATAAGGCAATGGTTAGAGTAAAGTCGATAAAATAGGCTCTCCTGGAGAGACGGATATGAAGAAAGTTGGAGCAAAGGCATGGACTTGCGAAATGCCCATGTTCAGGCGTGAGCATCAGAATGGTGTGGTTTCAAAGATGCCAGGGAAGGGGAAGCGTCCATACATATTTTGCTGTTAAGTGGAAACACTTTTGCTGCAAGCAAGAGTTAGGAGTTTGAGTGAGGACCATTTAAGTTTGGCAAAGAAAGAGTAAAGATGAAAAGGTAAGATGAAAAAGATGCTAATAATATAGCACCACCTGCTGTTAGGCATTAGGCATTTTAAAATTGTTTTCCTCAAATTGACTTTTTCTTCCTTCCTGTTTTGGTTGTTTTTTAATTTTCACCTATGTTTTATATGGTAGCTTAGTGTGTGAATGCACTAATGTGTTTACTTTTTAATCAGTGATATGGGGGGAAGTCATGTCAGTTTGTTTATTCCTTGATTTCAACTTTGCTAAAAGCTTCTGTCTCAAATGGCTCTTCTGGTCTCTGTGTCACAGAAGATGTGGGTTAACTACTTGAGGATTACAGGGACCCCCTCCTGCGGGATTCTGAATATTCATTTTATGTTTTGACTCACTTGTTCATGTAGGAGTTCAGGTTTACAAGCTTAAAGCTTTTGGAGTGAATAGCAGTGGAAACTTTTTTTTTTAACCCCCAAGGAAAACCTGCATCCTTGAAAACTGCACAGCCGTCTTGGGTGAATTCGCCTAGACCACTTCCTAAATCCAAAGCATCTCTGAAAAGTTCTGCGCTGCGGAGGACGGGAAGCACCTCCTCTGTTGCCAGCACCCACACTGATCTGAGCATTTACAGCAATAACTGTAAGTCAGTCTTATGTCAGATTTTGGGGCTTGTTGAAACTGTAGTTGTAAGAGAAATCTTATGCGCTACAAATTATCAGAATTTTTGGTTCTGTGATTTAGGGGAAAATATGCATCTTGCTTCTCCCTTGGAATTGCTCTAAAAGTTTAGCAGGAAAAACAAATTCTTTCAACGACATTCTCTTTTGTCGAATGTGCTATGAAACACAGAAGTATTTATCTGTTGAAGGCACCTGGTATTTTTTTGCATGAAGGATTCTAAAGTGTATAATTTGAAGATGGTGGGGTTTTTTGGCTTGTTGAAGGAAAGAAAGCAATCTAGGGGCTATTGGAACCCAACTGGAAATCAGAAAAAAACATAACTTCAGTTTCATTTATTTTGTAAGCGGCTATATTTTGTAGATGTTTTTTTTCTAATCTTAAACTTTGGATGCTAGATTCAGTGTATTAAGAGTAGTATATTATAACTTCAAGCCTAGTTTTAAGTAATTTAAACGGAGTGTATTTTGGGGGTTTTCAGTTAGTGTGAATTCAGTTTGCTGTGTATAAAATGAGTGAATTGAGTTATCCTTTTTGTTCAAAAGATGTATTTGGCTTTAGTGTTTATTTGCTCATTTCCCTTTTAATTTCTTTCACAAAATTTATGGGTTAACTAATTTGAACAATTTTGGAGTGCCTGCTGTGTACAGGCACCACTGTAGATGCTGTGAAGGATATGAGATATCAAAGAAATGGTCCCTATTCTCAAAGGTAGTTGAGAAAGAAGATATTTACGTGGATAACTAGAATATCAGATAAAACAAGATATAAGGGAGTAGTGGGGAAGAGGGAAGTTCTCTCTGCTTTAAGGGGAGGATCTGTTTCTTCTTTCCGGTGAGGGGACAGGAACAAAGTGGAGTCATGGTTATGAACCTTCTGGGTGTGGAGCAATGTGTAGGGTTACCATACATTATTTCTTTCGTTTCCTCTCAAATAACTTCTGTTACCCTCTTTCTATATGCAAGGTAATTGAGGCCCAGAGAGGTTGTCGCTGGTCCAAGGGCACTCAGCCAGCATGTGACAGAATTGAGAATGTGTTTGTGGAGGGTAAGGCACTGAATTAATGACCAAATTAATGAGCACGTTTCCGAGAGGGCACTTAGCAGCAGAAGCCGGTCTCCTATGAGAGTCAGTAGCTGTATACTGGACCTTTAGGAACACTGAAATTTGTTACTTGAAATTAAACGGGACTGTTATCCGCTTATGATTTGAATTCTGAAGTTGTGGCATAAGATCAGAAGGGTTTGCATGTATCCGTTGATTCTTGATGATTTGAAAAGGTAATTCACACGTGTATTCTTTTAAGGTCATTTCACTTGCAGTGCTCCCTGTTTGTAATGGGAAGTTTTGAAAACATTCTGCCAAGATGGAAGCACCAAGGTGTTCTCGGGGGCTGGAGGGTTGTGTAGCGCTGGCATTCGTGGCCCTGGCAGGAGGCACGTCCCGTGGAGCCCCGCTGCCCAGCGTCCCTGCCGACGGCCATGTTGCGGTGGCCCCATTCAGGACCGTGTCTGACACTCCTAAGGAGGGTGTCAAATGCTTTTGTCCATTCCTTTTTGTCTTTTAACAAAGGGGCTTCCCGTGTACCCACAGAGCCTGTCTAGGGGCTGTGTCTCTGTCGCAGATGAAGCATTCAAATCAATGTCTCTTTCTCAGTTGGATTTGCTAGCTGGTTTAATCTGTTCTGTGTAGTGCCTTGGAGCTTACAGATTTTTTTCCTAAGAGCAAGCATGAGGGATAGGAGAGTGAACATGGCTGCAGTTTTTCCTGCCTAAGCTTGCTTTGATCCTTTTAAATGACTATACCAGGAGGATTTCGCAGTTGTACAGAAACGGATACTTCTTCGAAAATATTTATCAATTCTACCCTCACCCCACCGACTGGCTCAGAGAGGCACTATGATGCTACCTTATTGACACTGCTGGTTCTGGGATCCTACAGCCTTTGTATAGTTCCTTTGTTAGCCACGTTTACTGGGAAAAGAAGTAGGTCGACGATTTCTGGTTTGATTCTTTCTTTGTAAGCATGTTTAAATTTTATTCAATAAATTGATTTAGCATCTCTTGATTGCTATTTTTATAACTTGTAATTTGTTAATTGTATTTCTTGGGCGTGTTTATATTTAAGTTGTGAATGATTCTGTCTACCAGTTTATTGTGTATTTTATGTGTTTTGAGACTCGGGCTAAATATAATTCAGCAGCATTGTCGAAGTTCATTGCACATGAAATTATTTTATAAGACTAGTTAATGGTCTCATTTTTGATTAAATAACTGGTTGTTTTTGTGTGTGTACCTAATCGTTGTACGAGGATAGAAGAATGCTTTCCTAGAATTAAAATGAAAACATCACATTTTATTTTACTCATATCTAAAAATATTTAAAATTTGCACTTTTTAAAGATTACCTTAAAACATGAAAAATATCATTTTGAGCTGCAGTTTTCCTATTTCTGATAATGATGGGTCATATTAGGAAATAACTTAATCTTTTGATCAGTGTTTTAAATTCACATTGGGTTAAGCCTTTGAAGGATTTTAAAGCTTCTTTTCTTGTTTTGTCCATTCCTTTCTTTGTGACGCGATGCTGTCGGTGCAATCACTTTTGAGACTGCAGGGTGCTGTTGTAAAATTAGCATCTGGTTCTCCGTGCTTAGGGATGTTACAGAAATAACATGACCAAGTTTTAAAGTGACTGAATCGAGATATGTAAGACAATAAATCTTTCTTATTTGCGGGTTTCAGCAGGTTCTTTGTGTTCTTTTCAGCACAGAAAATTTTCAAGTTACAGTATTGATTTTTTTTTTTAATATTAGCATGAAACATTGCATAGTAGTTTCTATATCAAATATGCTCATTTTTAGAGGTTAATTGTTGTAAGCTCTTCCAGACTCAGATAGCTAAGTTCCAGTTTTTAAGATCATTGGATAAAAATGTTTTATATATATGTGTGTGTGTGTGTGTGTGTGTGTGTGTATACATATACATATATATATATATATATATATATATATATATATGTCTTGAAAAGAGTTGAAGGTTTGAGGACCTTTGTGTGAGTGTAGAAAAAGGTCTCAGGAGAGCTTGTAATTTTGCCGTATTAGCAAATATGAAGTCCAAGTGCTTCCCACTCCTACCAGTTTGGCCACAAAAACCTAAGCACATTTATTTTTGAGAGACAGGTGGTGAGGTGGAATAAAAGGATGCACACCACAGCTCCTTGCACTGTCTGAGAGATAGAACAGGCAGAGGTTAACTGAAGAAACGGAGCTTTCTCTTCCCTCCCCTTCACGGCCAGCCCTGGCATCAACAGTGTGATACAATAGAAAAGGGTGTTCAACTCGGACTCAGCCCTAGTCAGTCTTACTGAGTCACCGAAGTTGGACAGTCTTACACTCTCTTAGCCTCAGTGTTCTCGCCTGATGAACAGGAGGGAGGCTTAGATCATCTTCAGAATCCTATAGCAGCAGCAACGCTTTCTCACCACCTTTATTTTCTTCACAACAATGAGTTGGTGCCTAACAGTTTGGAAGGAGGGTGTTTTGAGTCAAAGGGATCAAGGTGATAGAAGGATTAGTCTTACTCACCTTCAGTCCCATCCTCATTGCAGGATGGCAAGTAGGTATTGTGTCGCCTGTCAACACTGGTCCGTTGGTGAGTATCACCTGGAGAACAGTGTTGAAAGGTTTTCTGGCTGCTTCCAGGTTCAGAGCAAAAATGTGTGCTTGACTAGTGAGGCCCGCGGCGGGTGAGGAAGGGGTGAAAGACAGGCGGTACCTACTCTGACCCCATATTGCAAAACATGCTCAATACTTACACACGTCTGAATGGACTATTTAATAAGAAAATACTATTATCCAGACTGGTATTAATTTCGTTTTCATTCTGTTAATGTTTTTCTAGGATATATATGAGACATTCTTATTATTGCAAGGTTGGGTAATTTTGCTCTGGGAATTTGAAAGCTTAGACTTAAGTAGTGATTTGATTTTAAGCCAGGTGGCAGATGATCTGGCACAGTGGGGAGTGTTAAGCTGATTCACGGAAAGTTCAGGAAATGAGCAGATTGTTGGCTCTGTGTGTGTATATACATATTTGTTAAACAAAACAAAAACCAACTAGGTGCTAGAGTGTAGTGTGAAATGTTAGTTTGCAAATAAAAGTCTGGAACAATGAGAAGCCTTTCTCTAACAGGAAAATCTTTTCTCCTGCTTGGGCTGCTCTGAGCATCTCTCTTCATTTTCTCTGTAGACTCAGTCATCTATCATTTCACTTGAACCACATTTTGACCATGGGGAAATGAAAAAGAAGGATTCCAGAGCACCTATTATTCTGGCTTAATCGAGGCAGCTAGGACCAAGGACAACAACAGCATAGGGGCAGTTTTAAAACTGTATGTTAGAATTGGCTGAGACGTGGGCAGCCACTTGTGGGATTTCACATATTGATTGTACAAACCAGCCATCATGGAGTGCTTGTACCTCCTGAACCACTGGGTTTAGGAGAATTCTGAGTGTGTGTTCGGCCTCAGTGGGACCAAGCACCATAATCAGTGAGTGGGGACCCTGTGACATCATACGCACTGTCGGTTTCCACACTTGGTGTTCAAACCCTCTCATACATAGAGAGGTGAAGTGATTCAGCACAGCTAGGCAGTGGCCCAGTCAGGACCAGAACTCATATATTATAGGTTCCATTCCATTCCATTCCTTGAAACTAATGTGCTTCTCTTACTATATTGGAGCTTGTGCCACTGAAGAGTTTATCATTTGCATATAATAACTCTAGAAGAGAGAACATTTAGATATCGTCAGGATACCCCACCGGCTGCCCCATTAGGAACTGAAATAGAGGGCAGGAGAAATACTTTAAGGGCATCACGTCTCGTAGTAAAGTACATCCTTCAAGTTAGGGTCAGCCTAGAGGAGAGCCTTTAGAAAACCGAAGGATATGAAAGTGTTGGTCATAAAACTGTGTGCTGTTTTGTCTCCACACTTTGTCTCCACCATTAGTAAAGTGGGGAAGAGTGAAGGGGGGAGTGTGTATAGTAGATGATCAGAAAGAG